AGGACGATGATAGTCGGATTGGAGGAGAATCCTGTTAGAACAGCAAGCAGTTGTTGCATTGGGGAGCAAGGAGGAATTGGACTTGGTCCAGAGGAAGCAGTACTGCTTCGGTCCTCAGGAGGGGATGTGGTGAAGACAGTACTTCACTTGAGGAGAGAGACTCCGAAAGGGCCGGGGCAGAACGGGGTAGACGGACGACATTGGAAAGGCAGTTCCACTCGTCTCGAGGGGGGGGGGGGGGGATAAATGGCACCTGCATCGTCCTTTGTAGGGCCCCACCTATCTGGTGGATCTGATGACCCATAAAGGCGTATCGTACTAGAATCGGGGATGGTAGGTGCATTTACCTGACATCCCGAGACAGCGACTAGAGAGTGGGAATTGGTCGTAAATATAGCTTGAAGGAAGGAAGAATCTCCAGGAGATGAGGAGAAAGATGCGAACGAAAGAATCAACAACAAGCATAATAAAGGAAGAAAGGTAGGATTGGATCATGACGGAAGGGTTACTGCCGTTTATTGACCCATTGCATGCCGTAATTTCGGACGGCTTACGTGCAGGGCCGGTAAACAATATACGTGTTTACCTAGAGAAAAGGGATATACACGCAATCGCAGTCGCTGTTGTTTATCCGTGCGGCTCCTGTCTCATCCTATCTCCATTAACCTGTCGTTTACGTACATAACAGCATAAATGCACCCTCATAAAGGTCGGCCGTGTTTGTGTGCCGCAGTAGGACCTGAATCGCTATAAATCACACGGCGAGGATCATTTGGACGAAATTCCTCGCACTATCCGATAAGGACAAAATACGACTGTCATCCTATCGTTGTTGACGAAAGTCACCGAACGTCCAGGTCATGTTGACCCGCACCGTAGGCTGTTTCGCAACAGCTAGGAAACTGAAATCCCGATGAATGTCTTCCATGTCGAAAACCGGAATGCGATTGAAAACGTTTCGATTCAACCGCGCCACAGCGAAATCTCTCATACCACTGCTTCACGCAGACACACGTTCGTTCTACTGTGGAACAAGTTCACCATCGACAAACGTCGTCGTCTTGACTGTCATCCCACCAATANTATCATACGAGAAGCGTTTAGAAGTGTTGGGACTGTACTCGCTCGAACGAAGGTTAAGGAGGGGCGATCTCATCCAGGCTTTCAAGATAATTAAAGGAATAGATAATGTCGAGTGTGGTAGGTTTTTCCAGTTTGATGACAGCAAGAGAACGAGAGGTCACCGACTTAAGTTGCTTGAACCGCAGGTGCGGCTCAGGTCGAGACAGGAATTCTTTACTTGCAGAGTGGTGAACGCGTGGAATGCGTTAGATGACGAAGTAGTGGCTGCCCCGCGCTGTGACTATCTTTAAGAAGAAACTAGATGCTTTCATGGACAGGCAAAGAGGTGGGGGGCAATGTTGACGTTAGGTACTAGACAGTAAGCAACTAGGATAGTCAAAACAAAAAACAAAAAAAAGAAATACAAAAATATTTAGCTTCAAGAGGATTAGGCCTACCCTAAAATTAAAGAACGCTCAACCTCGGCACGTGATATCGAATTGGGCGAAATCGCCTCTTGATATCACTAACTCTTGGGGTGTCACCGCACGGTGGGGGTGAGGGACCTCGTATGGCGCGCTGAAGGCGAGACGACTGACTCCGAAGCCGGATGGCTTTCAGCGGGCTGACGTCGATCAAATCATCTTCCCAGTTGTCTCCATTGTGGACGTCGTGGACAGAGGTGAAGGTATCTCCAAGTGTAGTTGTGGGGTCGCGAGGGTCCATATACATCAACATGTCGATCATGGAGCTTCCAAGAGACTGGCTGTGAACTTCGAAAACAGTCATATATATATAGTGGAGAAGAAAAAGTGTCATTGCCCCTGTGAGAAGGACAAAGGGGTATGACCAACCATTTTCCGAAAGGGACGGGTCAGAACGGGGTAGAAGGACGACATTGGAACGGCAGTTCCACTCGTCTCGAAGGGAGGGGGGATAAATGGTACCTGCATCGTTCTTTGTAGGGCCCCACCTATCTGGTGGATCTGATGACCCATAAAAGTGTATCGTACTAGAATCGGGGATGGTAGGTGCATTTACCTGTCATCCCGAGACAGCGTCTGGAGAGTGGGAATTGGTCGTAAATATCGCTTGAACAAAGGAAGAATCTCCAGGAGATGAGGAGAAAGATGCGAACGAAAGAACCAACCACATGCATATTAAAGGAAGAAAGGTAGGATTGGATCATGACAGAAGGGTTTATTGCCCCATTGCATGCCGTAATTTCGAACGGCTTACATGCAGGGCCGGTAAACAATATACGTGTTTACCTAGAGAAAAGGGAAATACACGCAATCTCAGTCGCTGTTGTTTTTCCGTGCGTCTCCTGTCTCATCCTATCTCCATTAACATGTCGTGTTACGTACACAACATAAGAGAATACACCCTCGTAAAGGTCGTCCGTGTTTGTGTGCCGCAGTAGGACCTGAATCGCTATAAATCACACTACGAGGATCATTTGGACGAAGTTCCTCGCACTATCCGATAAGGATAAAATACGACTGCCATCCTTCTTTGTTGTTTAAGAAAGTCACCGAATGTCCAGGTCATGTTGATCTGCACCGTAGGCTGTTTCGCAACTGCCAGGAAACTGAAATCCCTATGAATGTCTCCCATGTCGAAGACCTGAATGCGTTTGAAATCGTTTCGATTCAACAGCGCCACAGCGAAATCTCTCATACCACTGCTTCACGCAGACACACGTTCGTTCCACTGTGGAACAAGTTCACCATTGACAAACGTCGTCGTCTTGACTGTCATCCCACCAATAACCGGAATCTACAAAGTCAAGGCTGATATCTTCTTCCCAAGGAGTGAATAGCCTCACAGAATCTCGTGAGATGATCCAAAACAGTGAGCAGATAGCGGTTGCCATGCCTCGAGGGGGGATGGGGACCTACAATATCGATGGCAACAATCTCAAAAGGCTGAGATGGCAAACGAGGGATGGTCATGGGATTCGGTCGCTTCGAACTATTAATTTTTATCTTCTGGCAAGGACGACAAGACTGGCAGAAAAATTTGATAGCACGTTGCATTCCGGGCCAGTATACTCGAGGAACCATTTTCCGAAAGGTTTTCTCGGTTCCTTGATGACCACTCCACGGAGTGTGGTGATATGACATCATGACATTATGCCGCAGGCGATCTGGGATTACGACAGCATAGCAGGTTCTGATCGAAAGACCTGCCTGTACTCGCACTTCCTTCAGTAGCACATCATTGGGGCTGAGATGAAACTTTTCCGCTTCGGGCGGTACTGCGTGGTTTGGCACGCCACGTTTCACCCGGTCGAAGTAGGTTAGATAGAGCTGACAAAAAACGTCTCTCCATTGTTCCTCTCGGAGGGTAATGATGTCCAATAATGGGATGTAGTCTGGAATGTCCTCCGGGTTGGGCAAGAGAGTCGCTGCACCGTCCAATTCGTCGATGATTCCACAAACGACCTTCTCAGGCGTTTGGGCAACGGTTACTTGGGGAACTGGTGGGTTTCGACTCAGACCATCAGCATGAGCAATCGATCTGCCTTCGCGATATTCTGTGGTGAAATTGTAGGCTTGCAGGAGGATTGACCATCTTTCTAATCTGGCGTTTTTTGGAGGTCTTGTTGCTCAAGATGAATTGAAGCGGTCGATGATCACATCGAATGGTGAAGTGTTTACCTTGAACGTAACAGTCGAATTGCTGAATAGCGAACATCACTGCTAATAGTTCTTTTTCCGGCACTGTGTAATTCAGTTCATTGGGTCTCAGAGCTCTGCTGGCAAAAGCGATAGGGAATTCATCTACCGTCCCATGTTGATTGGGAAACTGTTGCGTCAAGACTGCGCCTAATGTGAAAGAACTGGCATCAGTGGTGATGAATTCTCGCGTGAAGTCGGGGTTTCGAGAACGGGGGCATGTAACAAAAGTTTGCTTCAATGCGACGAAAGAATCTTTCGTTTTTGCCGTCCATACGAAAGGTTGTTCTTTCTTTAACAATTGATGAAGGTTGCGGGCCTTTTTAGCATAGTCGGGGATAGGGTAACTTTGGGGAATATGGACACCAAAAATGAAATCAGGTTATAGCGTCACGTCTAGGTGAAATGAAACTTTGCCAATATTCAGAAAATATTGATTGATGTCTTCTTTATTTATTCCCAACAAGATCCGTGCAGAAAAGTTAATGGGAAAAGAGTATTTGGGACCTCTTCACATGGGTCCCAAGAGGCCATATTACCCCTATTGTTGGGGGAATATGGCTAGGCATTAGGGGGAATATGGCCCTACAAAATGTTCAGGCAACGTTTCGTCTCTCTCATGCATCTCCAAAATAGCTCGTCTCATCAAGCATCCTTCTCAGAGAAGACTTGGAGTTCACAGTCCATTCTGGTCTATGGTATACATTTCGGAGCATCTCGTTCATATTCGCGAGAGGAAATATACCCATATTAGGAAATTCAGTACCCTCAACAACTCGGAACCGTCTTCCTCTGCGTGATATAGCCATAGGAACAATATTCTGGAGCAGAAAATTAAAAACTAATAATAGTAGCGATAAAGGAATAAATTCAGAATAGTAAAAGTACGAAAGGTTGTTCAGTTTCCCTGCTCGAAAGGTAAGTTTCGGGGAAAAGAAAGGCAACCATACTATGCTGGATTAGATATTTAACATTTCATCATCCAATATCTTATGAAGACGTGAGGATACTTTCTCCCTCTTTCCAATATTGTTTATTTAAAAAAAATTATTATTATTATTTCGTGCCATCTCTCCAAGCTGAGCGTAGCCACGGGTGTTCTTCGCCAGGCATTCGGTAGATATTCAATCACCAGTATTCAAAGTGAAGAGGTATGGAAGAAATATCCTGGAAATTATTGAACTCCTCTGCAAAGAGCAGCATCTGAAATGCATGTTCGGATGGAAAAGGCCATGAGGTTAGTTGTGTGTCCCGAGTTAAAAAAAAAGGGTAAGCCTAATAGCAAATGAATTCGATCGTACATGGAATCAGCACCTAATTTGGGCTGATTAGGCAGATCCATGTTCACTGTTCATTTTCTAACAAATACATAATACATAAAGTAGATAGGAAGAAATAGTAAAGAAACGGATACTAAGCTCCAAATCTTGTCTGAAAAGGATGCTTGATGAGACGAGCTATTTTGGAGATGCATGAGAGAGACGAAACGTTGGCTTTCTTCCCGGGAGAGGTGAGATCGAGGATGGTCCTATTTGGTATTTGGAGGAGTATTATATTAAAATGAAGCCTCACAGCTTCAAAATTTATGCCACCGATTAGGGTGGAATCTAAACTACAAATATTGTCAGAAAGTGATTTTTCGTCAATCGTGTTATTGTCGAGATGTAGGGGGAGAAGGACGGCGTCTGATGGAAAGGGAGGCGTGTGATAAGAGGTATTATCAATTCCGTACGTTTGTCTTCCTTAAATATGGTCGAACAGCCAAAAAAATTATACCACTTGCTAGGGCAGACTCTGGGCTACAAATCTTGTTTGAATGCGGTTTTTCGAAAACCGGACCGTTTTCGAGATAAAGGAAGGAGAAGCGAGGCAACCCTTCGCGGTCCATTTTAGAGTATGGGAGCACGTGGCATTGTTTCCCGAACTCAACGGCTCTCCGTCCACTGCCAATCAGCGCACAGCTGCGCAGAATCCACTTGGACTCCGTATTGTAATTTTGCATTCGCACCTTGACGCTGGCGGGAGGATCTGTCCCATTCAATCACGAAAATGTAATTCCTTTATGGATTTTTTTTTTCGTTTGCCCATCAAAATCCGCTTAGCATATCCAAGTCTCTTCCTAACGTCTGGCAATTTGCGGATAAGAATTTTTCGTCCCAGGATTATCATGTTGAGAAACAATGTCTTCCTCCCCATAAAAGCAAAATCTCCTTCAGTTCCGGCTAGTTTGAGTCTCCCGCTCCTACGCTCCCTCTTAAATAAACCGGTTTCTCTCAGCTTGTGAATCTTCATGATAGTCCTACATTTCTGTAATCCTCTTCATGATAGTCCTACATTTCTGTAATCCTTTGCCATAAAATTCTAGCAAAGTTCTGTCCCACCCCTTCCTTTCGCAAAGAGCAACATTTTTATGGGCAGACAGAGGAGTTCCGGCCCGAGATTAGCGCCCTACACGCGTACCAACCATCCTTCCGCCGATACGTTTCCTAGCGGAAACATAAATTCGACTTGCCTTCGCATTCTCGCTCCTGTGCTAAATCGGCTGGAGAAAAACGAACAAGAGTATCAGGGCGTTTCGAAGATACGAAGAAGTCGTTGCAAAAAAATGATGCTATGCTATCTGCTATCTCATGATCTCCAAAGAATCTCAAAGTGCAGCGCGTTTTTTTTTTTGCTACATCCAGTGTAAGTCAAGTTAGCCTTAGCCCTTAGCGGATCGAAAGTGCTGCCATTTCAAGCTGATGAGCAGCAAAAATAGGATGCACATGGAAAGACCTCCCAAAGTCATCTCGAACCTTGTCGTACACTTGGAGACTCAAACATTTGGGGCAACGCATGGAATAAAATGCTTATTCCATACTCTGGTCATGAATTTCTCCAGAACCATCCGAAGCGGCTAACCGAGTCAACTGAGTATATATTCTAACTAGACCACACCCGCTTCCCGCGGAACCCGCTCCGCTGGTAACAACGTTTCAACAGACATCAATAACTCAGGTCTAATTTGTAATTAGCAGTAAGAGAAAATGAATTATTAAAGTAAAAAACGTTTGAATTTCAAAGTGCCACACTTTCCATGAATAATAGGGGATGCCTCACGTCATCAGGGAACCCTCAACTGGATGTATGCAAATTCTCAGATACACCCGCCTTGTAGCATTCATCACGTCATCAGGGAACCCTCAACTGAATGTATGCAAATTCTCAGATACACCCGCCTTGTAGCATTCAAGTGAGGCACTTAGTTGAAGTTTCGAATATCCAGCTATTGGATAAAAGGGATGATTTTGAGCTAGGCACGGGATGCGGATGAACTCTATTGGATCGATCTGAAACGCGGATTTAGCGAGCAGCTCGGTTTGCAATCAAGTTTCTTGTTTGGTGCAGGCGAATACACTATCAGAGTGTGGCTCTATCCGCTTCCAGCGGCTGGCGGAACGTAGTGACCTGTGGTGGAGTAGGCTACCCGCGGAATGCT